AGTACTACTGCGTGCACGGCGAATGCGTGGCGTCCTACACAGCGGTGAAGTGCATGTGCGAGCCTGGTTACCATGGCGAACGCTGTGACATAGGTACGATCGTTGTGTTTCAGGTTACTTGGCATTCAACCGTGTTATGTTTGACTAGAGTCTTCGTGGAAATACTTCGATACGAAGTCGCTGATTCAGTACTCGCTGAGTATGCCGTCGCTGTCCAGTCAGTTCAACAAGATCAGCATGCTGTTCCTGCCGAAGCAGTACACTGGTAGTTTATTCGCTGCCCAGGGCATCAAGAAAGAGCAGTACATGTACCTTCAGGTGAGTAGCCTGCGCGGTTAGGTGATTTTTCATCGATTCGTCTCGTTTCTTCGACTTTTTCTTACAGCGGTCCGCAGTGCCGACTTGTCTGGCGTTAATGGTCCGCACTGGGAAAACTTTAGATGTTGTACGTTCTATGGAAATTGAACAAAGTAACTTATGATTCACCAACTGCTCCGATTGCATCCCACTTACTTGTTGAGCATACTGTTTGTCCTGACTTGTAAAATACAGCGGTTGGTATGGTCTGCTGATATTCATTCCGAACTCGTCACAGGTGGCAAAGAGCCTGTCAGGTGCACATTACAGGTCAAAAGAGCGGATGCAAACATTCCGCGGTCATCTGCAAATAGCAGGTGATTCAGTCAGTTTCTTCAGTTGTGATGCTATCCATGCTCATGTTATGTCTAATGGCTCGACCCATAACGATTATGAACAGCAGAGAAGACAGCACGTGACTTAAAAGGCGTCGTCTTCTCTTCCTGAATCTTTCGCTCTTCTGCTAACCGCGGTTTGTTTCAAAGTTAGAGCGTTCATCACATTTAGAGAAGTTCAGTCCCGAACAGCTGGTTGTCCGTCACATGTGTAATGAATGATGCCAAAAATATAGCGATGTTATTTTTAGCTCGAACAAAAGTCCGTCGCATTACAGTATCAACTACAAAATTATTCGGGCAGTTTGC